CTTAGTTGATCTCTCCTCTATGTGCATGTGCCATTCACTAATCTAGCATCTCATTGTCAATCTCATGTGTGTTGTGATGTTCTAGTTCGTACTTTGTTGATCTTTCATCTATGTGCATGTACTTTTCTTTAGTACTAGCTTCTCATTGTCAAGTTCATATGTGTTGTGAAGTTCCGGTTCCTACTTAGTTGATCTTTCCTCTATGTGCATGTGATTTTCACTAAGTTCTAGCTTCTCATTGTCATGTCCGTATGTGTTCTGATTTTCCGGTTGCTTCTTAGTTGATCTTTCCTCCATGTGCATGTGCTTTTCACTAGATCTAGCTTCTCATTGTCAAGTTCATATGTGTTGTGATGTTCCGGTGCCTACTTAGTTGATCTTTCCTCCATGTGCATATGTTTTTCACTAGTTCCAACTCCTCATTGTCAATTTCATATGTGTTGTGATGTTCCGGTTCCTACTTAGTTGATCTTTCCTACGTGTGCATGTGCTTTTCACTAGTTCTAGCTTCTCATTGTCAAGGTCATATGTGTTGTGATGTTCTGGTTCCTACTTAGTTGGTCTCTCCTCTATGTGTGTGTGCTTTTCAATCTCTCATTGTCTAAATTATGTGTATTATCACATCCCAGTTCATGCTTAGTTGATTTTTCACTATGGGATGGGTGACCGGCATTTGGTTGCTACTACGGGGTGAGGATTTGATTAGGACTAGATACCTCCTCTCTCTCTCTCTCTCTCTCTCTCTCTCCCTCTCTCTCTCTCTCTCCTCTCTTTGGTCTCTTTCTCTCCCTTTCTCTCTCTCTCTCTCTCTCTCCCCCACTCTCCCACTCTTTTTCCCCTTCTCTCCCCCTTCGCCTTGCCCCCTCCTTCCCTTCCCCTCACTTGGCATATGACTAACCCGTCTCCCCTTACTTGTTACATTGCCAGGGCGCAAACGGCAGAAGAAATTAGACCTCTCTTGGTGGAAAAAGAGGGCAAGGGAAGGGTAGCCGGTCCCTTGTGCGACCAAGAAGGCAAGGAAAAGGACGTTTGGAAAAGGTGGGAAAGGGGCGGAAACCGGAGGAAGTATAAGTTGAGGCAAGGTCAGTTTGACTCAACCATTTTCCCGACTGCATGACTATAAGAAGAGGATAGGCTGATTGAGCAAGGAAAGGGAACAAACAGCAACCAAAGAGCATGGAAAAGATAGGCATGTGGGAAGGGCTATGTGTTGACCCCTAACGGGGGATTGTATGGATCTTTGCTTTGTTGTGGGATTGTACAGGTAAATGATGGTTGTGGATGCCTTGCGCGGGATAGGGCCGGGAGAAACCGGGCGTCAAAGAGAAAGAGGGAAGAGGGGCAATGGGGCTACGGGACCCTTAGCTTAAAAGCCAGTCCAAGGAAATGACCTTTGCGTTTGAGACTTGGAGTGTGAATGAGGGAATGGAGTGCAATCTTGCCAAAAAAAATGTGAAAATTGTGTGTGCATGCATGTAAAGGCCCCGAAAAGACTAAGGGGCCTGCTTCAATGGGGTTAAATGAGATGTATGAGAATCGATGGGCGGGTAGAGGCGAGGGGAAGGACGGCTTCGCCGCGCCCCGATGATGCCGTAGAGTCGCGATGTTAAGGGAAATGGTGCGTGGCCTAAGGATGACGCTTAGCCTGCGCACAAGAGAAGAGAAACACTCAAAGAGCCCTTGGACTGCCTGCATATTGGAAGGAGCAATTGCCTGAGAACATAACTAAGAATCAAAAAAAAATCAGCGTTGCAAAATGACCAGCGAGACTACCATCCCGCGTGAGGGCTGAGCTACATCCCCAATGTCAAAGCTCTCTCGCGCGATGGCCCACACCCATCCATCTCAAAGCATTAGGTGGGGGTGACCCTGGGACGAATGACCCGCGCCTTGAGCATGAGCGTGGGCGGGCCGAGCCAACTGGGGCCCGCAGTGGGGTCGACTAAGGCTCGAAAGTCTACCGGGGTTTGACCCTACAACGTACCGTCACAGACAAGAGAAAAGAGAAACGAGCATGTATCCCTTACGAGAAGAGTGAGAGATTGAAGAATAAGGAAAGAGAGGACAAAAGTGACAGGAAGAGAGAAGAAAGTATCCGAGAAAGTCTATGGTCAAGATGACTAATCGTTCGAGATCTAACTCATCTGTAGGGACTAATGTGGAGGCACTGGTAGGAGTTATACGGGAACTGGTAGAGAGAGTTGACACTATAAAAGGAGGGTCAGACATTGCAAGAGCAAAGAGGCCAGATGAGAGAATACTCTGTTTCAGAGGACCTCAAGTAAACGATTTTCTGGACGAGTATGAATTATTTGGGCTCAATTATGGTTGAACAAACAAGCAACGACTTAAGCACCTTCTATCTTACTGTGACACTGACTCGAGGTTGGCTGTTCAGGAGTTGATGGAAGGAGCCACTACATGGGAAGAGGTCAAAGAGAGAATAAAAAAGGAATTTGAGAAAGACTCAGTTCCAACTACAACTAAGGATTTACTCAACATCAGAAGAGCTAAGTATGACACTTACAATGTTTTTCTTCAGACCTTCATCCAAACAGCAAGGAGAATCCCATATTTGGACGAAGCTCAGAGATGCCATATATTTTTGACAAATTTTACTGACACTGGAAGGCAGGCAGTTCTCAATCAGGCTCAACACTATCCTCTCAGATAGGATGAAACGGTTGCAATTGTTAGAACTCTACCTACAGTTTCTCATAAGAAATGGTCACTAGATCAGATCAGTACATTGACCAAGGACAGAGAGACTGAGAATGGTATGAGCAGCGGGAACAATCTGAGTGCTGATAATATTATTCAAAGATTGATGACTAACTATATGCCTGCAAACCATGTTTTGGATGACAGAGGAAAAAAGAAAGTTGAAAGCGAAGAGGATGATGATGAAGGTTATGGTAAGAAGGGAGATTCTTCTAGATCTAGAAAGAATGGAGGGGATGGTGACAGAGGAAACAGAGAAAGAAGGAAGTATGATAACCGTCCTAAGCAGAGTTTTGTCTGCTACTATTGTGGTGAAGGGGGTCACACTACCACCTATTGCAGGCCTCTTGAGGAGGATGTGAAGAGTGGGGTGGCAAAGAAGGATGCTATGGGTCATGTCTGTGATAGTTCATGGAACAAGTTGGACCCAAGGCACCCAGGAGGTATGAGATTTCTCGCTCTTAAACATGATGAAAAAATGAAGAAGAAGATTAAGAGAAAAACTAATGTGAATGTTCATTTTCTTATTGATGAGTTGCCTAATGAGCTTGTGCAGGAAACAAGTGACCCTCATACCGCGATTGAGTTGTCTCTGCAATCCTTAACATTAATAAAGGATGCGTCTGATGAGGTTTCTACAAGTGGGTCTCCATTAGAAGGGAATTTTACTTCTCAGAGCCCTTCTGAATTAGTAGAATCTCCTTCTAATGAAACAACTCACTTCCTAGTCAACATGATGTCATTTGATGGTGATCTACCTCCAGAACTCGTCATGGAACCCAGTGTCGTGCTTGGTGAAGTAAGAAACCTTCAAGCACGTTTGACGCCCCAAATGATAGAGGAAAATAAAATAAGGAAAGTTGAGGAGTCTCTGATTAATATTATTGATGACCCAGATTCAGAACTTCCATATAGGAAGAATGAACAACGAAGGAAGAGGAAATTTATTCTCAAGAATTTTTTGGAAGACGCAACAGTGATTACTGACGTAATTACTAAAATGTTGGAAGAGACAGAAGTGACCCTGTCCTTCAAGGAAGCAATGGCTCTAGCACCTAGGCTGATAGAAGAACTAAAGAAGCTGATTGAGAAGAAAAAACTAGAAGTTAATTATTTGGGATCAATTTTTCCTAGTCAGGGGAACAGATCACTGTCAGGTTGCAAGATGAGATTCGCAACCATGGGATGTGGGCACCTGACCATTTATATTAATCAAGTGAAGATTCGAGCCTTAGTGGACTCTGGGGCAGAGATGATACTTCTTTCTCGGAGAACAATGGAGGCTTGTGACTTATCTATTGATAGACCTGCACAAAACATACTGAGTAATATCGCAGGAGAATTTTTCGTGGCAGGACTTATTGACAATCTACCTATCAGAGTTGGGACCATGTCAGTTGAATTACTCGGTTTTGTAGTGCTAGAACTGGACCATGATTGTATCATCGACACTCCATTCTTGCATAGGATGGAGGCGGTCCAATTTTTCAGTCATGAGGGGTCATCCTGGATTGGCTTACAAGATCTGGAGACTGCTCAGGAACAGACCTTTATGGTCTGCACTAAAAGTGATTTCAAGCATCGGTTGTCTGCTAATTCGATTAGAAAAGAAGAGTTTACTGAAAGGATTAGGAGACTAAGAGAAGAAGGCAAACACGAGGTTAAAGAAGAAATTTCAGTGGGTATTAATCAAGTTTCCAAAATGATAAAAGCCCTTGGTAATCTCAAAGATGAAGACAGACAAATTGAAGCATTTAAGAAAGCTGTAGAGCTTCTGAAGATTCTGTATCCATCTCAATCCACCCCCTGGTTTCCAAAAGCGAAACCTGTGGTTAGCATACGGTCCAGCAGCAGGTTCAACAACGTTAGATACAATCTTCTTGTCAATATATTTTACAACCTCTGCCTCTTCTTTCAGGGCATATTTGATTGGCCTATCATTCCATGAAACTTGATCAACTGTTCAAATTTTGGCCATTTTGATCATATCCACATCCAACCGCTCTCTCTCTTCATCATTAAAGAAGAATGCACCAGAGAACGCTTGACACATCTTGAAGATATATTTTTTCTCTTTAGGCAAGATAAATTGATTTGAGTCTATCTTCATTGTGTCAAACCTCTCTTTGGTGACCCTATTTCCCAATTTCGCGGATTCCCTTAATGCCTTAATAATTTTCCTTCCCTTTTTCAGTGCTTCATCATAATCCGTTTCTATTAGGACTGCCACCGGGTTTTTCTTCACCCCCTTGGGCATATATTTTCTCTTTAACCCAATGGGTATTTTCCTAAAAAAGGATGAGTTGATGCAAATTTTAATTTCATCCTCCCTATATGCAATAATAGACTGGGTAGTGATCAAAGGGAAAGCAATCCTTCTCAGCATTCCAATGTAATCTTCAATCAACTGTCTTTCATCATCCCTACTCAGTCTTCTATTATACCCTTTTACGGTACCCCGAATCATAAAATATCGAGTCAAGTCTATAATCTCATAATCAAATTGCATTGCTTACAACCCGTTGCTGATCCTTCTGGCAAGAGAGACTTGTTCCCTGGAAGAATGATAGGATATTCTTTCAGTAGCTCCTACTTTCACTACCTTCAGCAGGTAGTTAATCTCAGTCTGGTCAGTGACAGCTCTCAGGGCAGAGTCTCTCATATGATCAAGGAAGGGTTGAAAGAACTCATGGTCATCCAGGGTAGAGAGGTTTCTATCAGAGATCCTTCTACCTTGACTATTCTTCCTTCCAACACAATTCCAAACGTAAGCTGCTCAATCAAGCTAGGCTTTATTAACCATCATAGGCAACATCTGAAAGATAAATCTTAGGCTCGACATAATTAGGGATTTCGAACCTATGCTCAAAGGTACTCAAAAGTAGGGATTTTATCAACACAATAGAATCTTTCTCCCTTGCCCTACCAACCTCAGCAATAGCCTCTAGTAGAGGCATCCAATCTCTTCTATCTTCAAATCCATCAGCAATTGAGAACTTAGGGAGCCTCTAAAATTCTCTTACTCCCACTCCCCACATTACTTTCCTTCTTAGCTTCTCCAGCCACTCTTTTGTCCGCTCAAGATTGACATACGCCCCTTTTAAATACTCCAAGTAGTCAACTTCCTCCTCTTGACAGGTAGAGGAGTAAACCCTTACATCCAAACTGTCAGAGTTCAGGAATTTAATTACAGGAATATGAAATATTATATGTCATTTCCCACAAGTCTCATGCCTCGGGATTACAAAGGGATTATCATACCCTGTCACCTCATAAAGTTTACCCCTCATAGTAGTTATCATATCTACTGAGAGTATTCTTTTTGGACTCCCTTCACTTTCCATACAAGACCTATCATGGCTGACCAATTGTGTCTAAGTCCTTCAACAGGTGGAGATGGTATCCCAACAAAAGGTCTAACATAGGTACTAAAGGAGAATTTTTTTCCCTCTCACTCCACCCTTCTTTACTGATCATGCACAAAGTCCGACGCTCGAAGCCAACACACACCTTTTCTACACTCTTCAAATATTTGTTTCGGCATATAAATCTCAATATCATACTTATCAAGATCAATAAAATAGCAGGTAAGAACATACAGACTGTCCTGTTCTCGCCCTGGTTTCTTTATGGCCTCATACCGCACAAATTATAGGGGATTACGACTTTCCTCGTTATAGAATTGAGGGAATTTAACAATTTAGCTGATTCAGCTTTACTCAACCCTCCATGGCCTCTTATCAGTCTAAGCCAGGGTTTCTCTCTTGAGGGTGCATAGCGTCGACTCATTTGACTCTTTGGTCTCGTTTCACTCTCAGAGCAAACTCAACCACCACAGACCAATTTTCTCTTGACAAATTAATGTCGGGCAAGGGAGGAGGTGGAAATCCTTCAAAGACGGTAAATCGAGTAGATCCAGTGAAGCATTTGTTTTCCCTCTCAAGTCTTTCGTTCTCTTTCAGGACAACCTCTTCAACAAATCCCCAGCATCTCTCATACACTGCATCAACACTTCTTTCTTTTGGGACATAAATCCTCACATCATACACGTTAAGGTCTATGAAGTAAAATGTCAGTACATAGAACCGTTCCTGCTCCCACCCGCTCTCGACCATCTGATATCTGACAGCCTCATATGGGAACACCTCTCTCTTACTTAGAACATTCAGTGATTTTAGGAGGCACTCGACCTTCTCTTGACGTGGGTCTGAACCTCTGCAAAATTTTAACCTTCTGTGTCGGATTTCCTTTACTGAAATCTCTTTAGTTCTCACGACCACCAATTCATTTCTCCCACTTTAGTAACATGATGATAATTGGTAGCCAATTAGTCCCATCATAGTAACTGTAAGGAATAGAAGGGATCAAAACAGTCTCATATGTCACTGGCATTGAACCCTATTCTTCTTTTGCTTAATTAAATCTGCCTTCTGATCATAAAGAGACTGGATTGCAATTCCCCATAACCAGTTGAAGGCCTCACCATCGTCATAGTCTCCTTTCTTGACATAAGGACGGATATCAGAGATATCTCCTTCCAAGAAGCGAGCCAACATTACGCTGATGGTCGAATTGCCAGAACGGTAGACCCAGCAATGCTCATAGTGATAGGGGAATATTCCTTTAATAGTTACTTTCGAGAGCTCTTTCCGTGTATCAGAAGTTAGCATTTTTGGTGAAGTCTCCGAGCTCTTGATTCTTTCTTTCCCTTCTTCATGTTCCAAAGACACCATGGGCTCATGAGGCATACCTGAGATCAAGCCTGATTCTCTCCAGTCAGCAATATCAGGCTCCTTCTCCAGTCCAGTGTGGTACCTCACACAAGGAAAGATAAGACTCAGTTAGCAACTAGGCTTTCTCAAGAGAGTAATAACTCAAGAAGAAATTGCAAAACAAGTCTGAAAAATTCAGAAATTGTCAACAGTTCTCAAGGCCTAATCAAAGCTCAAAGTTGTTTGCTGACCCAGACTCATTTCGGACACGAAAATTTTTCATGTCCCCGGCAACGGCGCCATTTTTGTCGCACTTTTTCCAACAGGCTGTCACGCAAGATTTTTTTTGCAATAAATAAAATAAATTAATTAACGCAAATCCCTTCCTGTTGTGTGCGTCCGACTTCGAGCGAGACCCTTCTATTACGGTCTTCGTCGGACCCTGGTTCAGAAATCTTTGATTCAGATCCGGAACAACAATGGTGATGCAGATAATAAAAATTAAATTAAATACGCCATGTATGTATTAAGATGCCAATTTAGGAATTTGAGAACTGTGACATAATCAGCAAAGAAATACAATCATCAAGCAATGCAAGAAGAGATAATCAAGACTCAATGACTTCAGGCAAAGACAAGATGAATGAGGGAAAAGTAAGAGCTCATATCATCTCAAGAGTACAATAACAAGGACCTGGTCAGTGCTCAGTGTTTGTGATCTCACTTTCCCCTCTCACTTTCGACCTTAATCTCGATCTCTCAGAGCAGCTGACACCACGTCCAAATACATCTTGAGAAGGTCTGCTCGGTATGTATCTGATGAGTGTACTCAAATCTTGAGTATGCTCTTTTCAATATATTTGTCATGCCCAATAAGATTTTGCCTTAAGTCTGTTGTACTCAGATGCTCGTTGATTTTAAAGTTGCTC